ACGCCGACGCCGCCGACGCCGCCCGCCACTGCCGCCTTCGTTTAAACAATCCGCTGATGGGAGCACATTTTGTTTTCTGGAGGGCACATCGGCCGGGCGGATTAAATGTCATTTCCGCCACCGATTAAAAAGCACGCCCCAACTCTGGCCGCGCGTTTTAACCGTTTAATGACCGTGGTAATTATGCATCGGGGCGCAATGCAACAGGAAGGGTGGGCGGGCGGGAGCGAGCGAGCGAGCAAGTGAGTCATCACCAGGGCATGGGAGGTGCGCTCCGGTGATTACAGCTGTCTGACTTAAGGACTCGTAAGTGGCCTGGGTGCGTTTTTAAACATCACTTGCGATGGTTACCTTTCTCGCGCCTGTGTCTGTGCGTGTCTCCCCTCTCGCTTACCGTTGAACCGCCACCTCTCACACTTCCCTCTCTCCTCCTTGCTGCTCTCTTATTCTCATATCTATTCTCTCTCAAACGTGTACGTGTTGTATGTTGAGCGTGTTTCGCACAATAATGTAGCCAACCGTGCTAGTCGGAGGTGCGGGGGAATGACAGCACACTCGACACAAAAAAGCAGTTCTCAGCATGTACACGTTTCAATCTAGGTGATTTAAAAGCGCATAGCTCCGGTGGCTTCCTAATACCGGAAGGAAGAGCGGCGTTCCAGACGGCCGCAGAAGCGCGTCTGAAAGCGCGCGATGCGGTGACCATCTTTGTTGGATGGCAGCAGCCAAAAGGCGGTGCGAGGATGACCGGAGTTTGCGTGATGGTTTACGCTCCCCTCGTCCTGTCTTTCCCCTATTCAAACTCTGCCACATGTCACTCCACATTCTCCACTGTCTCACCTCTGCTCTCTCTCTCTCTCTCCTGATCTTCTCATTTCTCTCTCCTCTCTCTTGCTTTCTCTCTCTCGAACCGCTTTTACTCTCTCTTCTCTCTATCTCTCTCTCTCACTCTCCCACCACTGCTTTCCAGACCAATTACATCCAGATCTTAATTTCTCAAATTAATATTTCCAGGGTCGCTGGTGGACTGGAGTAGGTGGCACGTGACTTTAGTAGTAGCCACAGCCCATAGTTGATCGGTATACTGGACGTGGTGTGTGGGGTGCCAGAAGGATTTTTTCTCGGCCACCAACTTGGACAGATCCAGGAGAGATAAAGCCCTGTGGTCATATCACCTCTGCAAAATGCCACCTCATTTCCAAGTTGTTCAGTGTTTGAGCTATTCAGTACAATCAAAGACTCACCGCAGATTGTGGGTGAACTTTGAGATGGCTTTGAGCTTGATGAAGTTCATAAAAACTTACATCCGGTCACCCTCGCAGCGGCGGCTTGTGGCTGCCCATCGAACAAAGGACGGTCACTGCATCGCCCGCGTTCAGACGCGCTTGTGTGGCCGTCTGGAACGCTCTTCCTTCCGATGTTTGGAAGCCACTGAGAGCTATGCACTTTTAAATCATCATCTCGATTGAAAAGTAATTTCTTTACAACTGTTTTTTTTATGTTTAGTTCGTTGTCCTTCCCCCGCCACATCCTATTAGCACGGTTGGCTATGTATGGTGCATACGTACATACATGAACAAACACCTTTGGAATTTCGAAAGCTAAGGAGAGTTGATCTTCGACAGTGCATGGATGGGCGACCGCCACGCTGAGCAGGGCGATACCGGCTGCTGCGATTTCTCCACAGTGGCCTACAGAGGGCCAGGGCAGCAAAACTCCACTGCTGCACTGCATTTATAAGCTCCCCACTTTCATCAACCCGCAAACGAGCGGCGTGCGGTGAAGTATGGTCAAAATAACCTCCACGGTGCACGCGGTGTGGGGCGGTGGGGGGGGGAGCGCCTAATCCAGCAGTCGTCTGACAGAGGGCCATACACGTTCACGTGAACATTCTCCCGGAGTTCGTGTGAACACTCTCCCCGGTTCGCGTGAACACTCTTCGAGTTCGCGCGAGCATTCTCTCGGCGTTCACGTGAATACTCTCTCCGAGTTCACGTGAACATTCTTCGAGTTCCCGTCTGGGGAAACACGAGCTACTCACCGCGGGGTCCCTGTTTGCAACCTTAACCCCGAATCCTCACACACCCCTGCCTGGGGTCGGAAGACCAAGGTGGGAAGGAGGAGGAACCTAACTCCTAAACCCAAGCACCAGCCTGGAGGTCTTCATCCAACAGTGGATTGATCATGACTGCCGCTGATGATGACAAATCCATGAAACCGAACATACAGCCCTTTGTCAATCCACTGCTGGACAAAGGCCTCTGCAAGCTGCGTCAGTCATGAAAGTTGTTTGACCATACTTCACCATGCCGGTCAGTGCCGGCTGGTGAACGAGAGGTGGGGGAGGCTACAGGTGACTCGGGAGCAGTTCAGATATCGTTCGCCGATGACGTTAGCCGTGGTCGGAAAATCAAACAACTCGGATAGCCGGGTTCGGAACACCGGCGCGGTCGCTAACCGCGGCGCCACCGCTCCCCTCCCCGGAAGTAATACCTAAGTGGTGTAATTATGAAAGTAAATAATAGCACGGTATTAGATTTTAAAAAAAAAACCAACAACCGTGGCTCATTAATGGAACAAGTCCATGGTTTGACAGAATGGCGCAACACACGCGCAGAAAACTAAACGCATCACCACCACCACCATCGCAGCGTGGATGGGAAAGGACTCTTGGTCTCAGTGCGTCCAACATTGCTCGGTACTGAATGAACTGTATTGCACCCGAAGAAATGTCGGCAGTAATTTCCATCTCGATCACGTAAGTTCCTCATCGGCTGGCAAAGTATACCCAAGTTAAAGGACTATATTGAAAATCCATTACACTAAACTAAGTTGTTTATTTTACCAGGTAAGGCCCACTTCTGAGCTCTCTAGCGCTTTATCAGAAGCGAACCTGGCTATCACAAATGAGAGCTCAACAAAGTGGCTCATCACGTGGAGGTTTATAGCAGCTGGATAACTCTCAACGCACGTCGATTCTGAATGTGGATTGGAAAAACCGGAGGACCTGGAGAAATATCCACGAGACCGTGCAAAATCCAAATATACATTGCGTCAGGGTCGGGATCGAACCCACGACCACCTGCAGACCAGGCGATGCAGTTAACGTCTCGCCACCGTGGCACCACAACACACGTTCGAGTGTCCGAGATGTACATCCGAAATAGTGGAACAGCCCCGGAGTCCCCGTTTAAAGACGCCTCTCGTCTGAACGATACGGCCTTGTTTCACCACGTGGACAGCAAAGTGGCCGTGTTCGCCTGCTTCTCGTGTGCAGTTGCGTTGTCCTTCCGCTCACACCTCCGCTTAGCGCGGTTGGCCACGTACCGTGAAAAACAAGTTCAACACGCGTACCCTGTGCATTAGTCCATCGCCCATCGGCGCTGAGGTCCGGTACCATGTTGGCCAACAGCATTCGGTTTAAGGGAGCAAAAAAAACCCCCCACACTCTTAACCAGTTTCGATTTCTCTTGAGTCTCATCAGCATCGCGTGGCCAGACGCGCACGTGAACCGTACCGCGTGTTTTCTCCAACTCTTGGCTTAACAAAATCGCCCTTGTTAGGAACTGTAAATGGGATCGCGTCTCAAAATATGCCCTCGCCGTGTTACGCAGATGTCAAGTATCGATTGGGCATTGAACCAAAACAAACGTTGGCTTCAACCATAGCTGGAAGGCGCCCATTAAAACAAAAACACAACGTTGGGTGAACGTCGGGCCAACGTTCCACGTTTACTGGGTATATAACTGGGCGACGTTGTCAGCAGATGGCAGCGAAGCACAAATGCACCGTTGTACTGTAGTACGCTCCAACGTCTATGCTGCCCGGCTCCACCAAACAGCGTGGAACCCCCCACCCCAGCGTGGTGAAGTATGGTCAAGTAACCTCCAACAAAGCCGGCATGGCGTGCGGGGTGAGATATCTCCACACAGCCGCCGAAGGCTGACGAGAAGGGGCGCCTCTCACCGTCATCTGGTGGCTCACACACTCGACCAGAGTCGAGGATGTCAAGTGAGGGTTTTTGTTTCCCATTGTAAGGCCCGCGGGCCACTGGCGGGCCCTCTGGTGGCCTTTAGTGCGGCCCCTGACATGGGCAACCCCCCCCACCAACACCACCACCACGACGACAAAACACAAAATCATGCTGCTGTCACAAAGCCAACAATGGTTTCACATCGTGTGGCGGCCTCACTTACACACACACACTGTTGATGTCTCGTACCTGTCAACCCCTTATCAGTGCGCTACCTTATTGCAGACCAATTCACACCTTATTGGTCACCCCGTGCCCCTTAGAAATCTCAACGTTCATCCTACCAAGTCCCATCACAAGGGAGAAACACGAAAAGACAAACACAAATGTTGTGCCCGTATTGAAACGGCTGTACGCAGGCTAGACCTGAAAACGCAATTACCCTCGACAAGAATACGGGGTGAACCCGTCTGTGTTGACAGCTGTAGATGTCTTATCGGCGAAAGTAGACCCCCTCACTCACCACCTCTGAAAATTAGAACACTGTTTTAGAAGCTTCGTTGTGTATCGTTCTTTAATAATTTAATTAAGACTTCAAAAGTCACCGGTGACGTCACACCCCAGCGGCGTCACTCGCGTGTCCCCCGTTGCGCAAACGCTTGGGCCGTACAACTTCTTTAAAGTTCTTAACTCGTCTCGACCTCCGTCGAGCGCGGGGCTTCAACTCGTGCGAGGAGACGGGGAGAGAGCGAGCACGGGGAGCGAGAGAGAGGGAGTGAGACAAAGAGAGGAAGAAGTGACGAGAGCGAGAGAGATGGGGAGAGGAAAGAGTCACGCACGAAGTCAGGAGCGGGGCGAGAGAAGAACGACGGAGGGGAAGGGGCTGCGGAGAAGAGCGAGTGGATTAAACTAGTTGAGAGAGAGCTAAGGGGGAGAGCATAAGGGTGACAAACTGGCTTGCGTGTGGCAAAGCGAGAGAGGGAGACACACACGGCGAGAGAGAGCGGCACGGGAGGAGTCGCGTTACCATTTGCTTCATGGTGGCCGCGTATCCGCGGGGCGCTGCCGGCGTGCAGCCCGGGACCCGCGCGGCTCCTCCCCAGCTGCTGTCGCTCTCCTCGGGCCTCTCGCTGCTCCCTTTCGCGCTCTCTCACTCCGAGCACGCGATCCCCGCAACCTCCTCTCTCTCTCTCTTCTTCTCTCTCTCGGCGAGCTTAGTAGGACGACGCCATCGTCGCGCCGAAACCCCGGGGATCCTCAGCGACGCTACTGCAAGTTCCTCCCCGTGCGTCTCTTTCTCCCCGTGTCGCTCTCTCTCTCTCCTCCTCCTCCCGAGCGCAGTGATGACAACACCCAGCCCCAGCTCAGCGAACCCGCCCACTCTCCCTCCCTGACTCTCCCTCCCCCACTCTCCCCCACCTCATTCACCGCCTCCCACGGTCGGGAGAAGACGGCCCAAGGCCCGGCCCCTCCCCCCCAGCGCTGGGGGGGGACAACTCCCAACACCCCCAGCAGGGCCGACGTGAACCCAGCACCCTCCATCCCTCGCTCCCTCTATTGTCAATCACTCACTCGTTCCTCCCTGGCTCCTAAACCCCTTCGCAGTCCCTCCATCTCTGACTCGCTCCATCCATCCATCACTCCTCCATTGTCAATCACTCACTCATTCATCCCAGCCGCCTTCATCCTTTCACCGTCCCCCCATCCCTGACTCATTCCCTCCCTCCCTCCACCATCCATCCCTCCATGAATGATCTCTCTCTCCCATTCATGATTCCATCATTCATTCCTCCCACATTCCTCCTTCATTCACACCCCCCCACTCCCCTTCGTCGCCAGTCTCTTCCTGCGCGCATTCCATTCGACGGCTGCCTGATAATATATGTTAATATATGTGACTACTGTACATGTTCATGTGCGGAGATGCTACAAGATAAAGACTCCGGTGCGTGGTTGATGCGTCAGTATGCACCCCGACATTAGTCGGGGTGCATGTCAATGAACGGTAATACGTGCCAGCATCGTATGCGCCGTGCCCACGTGCAGATTGTACGCTGTGATGCCATGCTGATGCATTGCGATGCCCGCTGATGGAACGCACGGATGCGAGACGCACCAAACACAACCACGTGGCACGCACAATAGACGGGACAGCAGTGAAGGGAGATGGCACACGATATGTCCACGCGTACTGATTGCACTTGTGAGAGGAGCGGTGGCGCAGTGGTTAGCGCACCGCGCCACGAACCTATTTACGGGGCAGTGCCACCTGAGTTCGATTCGGGGCCACGGCTAACATCAGTGGCGAGTGGTATTTGAACCGCTCCTGGGTCCCCACCGCCTTTTCACCAACCAGTGTGGTGAAGTATGGTCAAACGACCCACATGAGCGACATGGCGTGGGAGGGTGGAAGGGTGGAAGGGGTGGGAGGGATGGTGGCACTTCATCCAGAAGTAGATTGACACACAAAGGGCTGCAACGTAATGATGATATATTATATCGCGCTTATACGTTACGCTGCGTTATAATGTACACGCGTACATGTACAACCCTTACATCAATCCACTGCTGGATGAGGGCCTCTACAGAGTCACTTTAAGATGTTTTTCTTGTTCGTGCTTTTGTTTTTTTGTTTGTTGTGGTTGCACCCGATTCAAGAGCCGAATGGCTCACAGGGCTATACCACAATAAACTGAAAATAAACTGAAACTGAACACACCGTGGATGATGGGGGGTGGGGGTCACGCATGGTGGGGGGGGGGGGGGTATTTAACCATACTTCACACAAACGCACACGCCGGTTAATGATTTATAATCATATGCAAATGAGAGATTGAGCACGTGGGCGCCACCGTTCCATACAAGGGAACGGGAGATGGAATCTCGGCTGGGGGCTAAGGAATGTGAAGAGGGGGCGGAGGGGGGAGGAGGAGGAGCGGGGAGAAAGAGGAATTCCATTCGGTCGAGAACGCGCAGAGCCGACAATCTATAAATAACGCGGCTCCCACACTCAACACTCACTCACTCACTCCGGCCGTTATTTATTTATTTGCTCGCTTACCAGCCAGGAATTTTAATTATATAGTCTGAACTTGTATAGTCTATACCCTTCATTAGTAAGAAATGTGGAGTATTCGTGCAACTTTTGAGCGCCTGTGTGTGCGTCTGTCCGTGTGTGTTGAACAATCTGAAGAGAAGAGCGTGTTTATCCGCCAGAGAGACCATTGCACACTTTCTCACCACGATCTGCTGCGGAATAACAACTCCGCGCGTCTCATTCATTGGCATGAGTCACAGGCGTCTGAATGGAATTTTGTCCTGGTTTACACGAGGAGGAGGACCACGCCGATGATGATGATGGTGACTATTTTTACTTTTTGATCAATGAACGGGTGTTGTTGCTCAATAGCAACCAACCATCACGTAACTATTCACACGCCCGTTTAAATAAAGACCGTGTTGTCATCGGGAAACATTGAATAATGCAATTCTCATCGGGACCCCCAATGGTGTCAACAATTGGCAGTCTGCAACTCTTACCATCCAACTCTGCCTTTCTCCTGGCCGCTCTATTTACGTGTTCTGAATAAGGACCATCGTTCCAAACGTCGCCTATTGTAAAATTGCATTATGGCCACACACACGGTGTTATTGACGAATGCGTCGTTATTGTTGTTTTGCTAACACGACCTCGTCGTTGTGGTTGCACCCGATTCAAGAGCCGAATAGCTCACGGGGCTATACCAAAATAAATAAACTGAAACTGGTTATTGTTGTTTTGCTAACACGACCGCTTCGTTGTTGTTGTTTTGCCGGCGCATTTTCTCCCCACGCCTTCTCCGGTTGCACCGCGTGCCATTTGCACACGATGTCCGACGTTCAGCGCCACGTGCGAGCTTCAGGGAAGGAAGACAAGAGAGAGAGCCGTGACAATTGTTGTGATCGTGGTAAAATAATGTTCAATCCTTTGTAAATGTTGTTGTTGTCGGTCACCGAGGTTGTTTGACCATACTTCACCACTCTGGTCAGTGTGGGTTGGTGAGGTCGAGAGTGCCAGCGCTTGGTTGTCATGTTGCCACTGACACCTTAACCGTGGCCCAGAATGGAACTCAGCTCACCGGCTACAGAGAGTAGTGCTCTCATCACTACGCCACCGAAAATAAATACGTATGTGTATGTGTGTTTATGAGCGGTAGCTAAAGCACTACAATTTTGCACAGTCGGGGGCACAGGTGGTGCATCAGCCACTCATCTCAGTCATCTCAGTCAGTCGACCCGTGGCACCTGGGTCTGCCCCGTGACCTCCTGCCAGCGGGCGGTCGACACTTAACGTGGCCTCAAGGTGCACATAGCCTGGCACAAGCGTCGTGGTGACGTCACCGCCACTTCGTGGCGAATGGCGGCTGTTGTGTGTTTTGGGGAGCGGTGGTGTAGCGGTTAGCGCCCTGCGCTACGAACCCGGCGACCCGAGTCCGATTCCCGCTCAGTGGTCCCAACACCAATGACGATGATCTGAATCGATCCTGGCCCTCCCCTAGGTCGACTCGGCCTCAAAACAAGCACCTGGCGCGGTGTGTAAACATCGCCACGTGGGAGACAAATGCGGCCTTCACAGGTGGCTTACTCGCTCACAGCACTCGCCCCGTAACAGTCTGTGAAGATTGTAGGGGGCGGGGCTGGGGGATGTTTGTCTTGTGTGATCGTAGGGGCACCTCCGATCAACTTCCACCGCACCTCCGATCAGCACGGCTGGGCTACGGACGGTGCGCGAAGGACGTTCAACAGTGCACAGTGTGGCGCTCTCAACCACCACCACCACGCCGCCGCCGCAGCCGTTCCACCGCAGTCCCCACCGCCTGATCCCCCCCCCCACCTGAGTCACCCGGGCGGGGTCGCACCCTGGCACCCTGCCGTCACCTGCTCTCGTCCCGCTCGTGATTCACGGTCGAGGAATTTTGAGGAGGCGGTTTTGTGTTGACGGTTTCCCCAACGGTTCGGGGATCCACCAAAAAAACCCACAAAGGTCACCGCCTCCCCGTAGAGCCTTTAACAGACTGTTGGGGCAAGTGTTGTTGGCGGCCACCCTATATAGGGCCGGCACGGCACGGCACAGGAGGTGGGTGGCCAACACCCGCCCTGGCTCGCCACGAGAAGGCGGTACAGCGAGTGTGGACTTCACCTGCTCCGTCTCTACGGGATTGAGTGTTCCCCCCTCGCACGGAAGCACGGGTATTCTCCGAGTGCTCAGGTTTCCTGGCTTAGTGCTTCAACATCATCATCACGATCCATGGGCAGATAAAGCCCGTAGTAGGTGTCCACTGCACATGTCGTTATTTGTTGTTTCCACTTCCCTCTGTCTTGTGCCAATCTGCCCAAGTGGTGGCCACATCTCTCTGACACCATTCTCTTCCCGTGTCGTCGTCTTCGTCGTCTTCGTCGAGACATTCTCTGTGAGGTCTTCCTCTCTTTCCGGCCCATTCCCCTTTTTCCGAACAACAACACACTTTGAATGTTCCTGTTGTTGTCCATCCTCCTACATGTGTCCAGGCAGCAGTGCCCAGTTTCCTTCTCACCGCTGCCTGCATCATCACCATGATCACCATCATCACCATCAGGTCGTCTTCTCCCACGTGCCACCTCTACCTTCTACGTTTGGGTCACTCATTGGGCCCAGCTTCACCAATCGGCTGAAAACATCTGAACACGTAGAGGGACCGCAGACCTTGGGCAACTGTTGGTAGGGCCGGCCTCTTTGCCTGGCTACCGCCGCCGCTGCTTCCTTCCCGCTCCTCCGTGGTTCATCCCCGCGACCCCGAGTCGCCCTCCGCCCGTGAGAGCGAAATGCCGTGCGGCGGCGTTGCAAGTCGAGGGTATCATCGTGATCATCGCCGCAACTTCTGTTGAGCCCTTCCGACTCGTCCCGTATCCTCACTGCGTCTTTCTCACGCGCCCCTTTGCTGACCGTAGCAGCGGTGTCCATCACGTGGCAGCGAACGCGAAACGTTCAATTCAGTAACGGGAGAGCGACGGCTGTTCGAAGCATCGACAGCAGCAACGACGGTGCCAGTGCCGTTCATCGACCGCATCACGCACAGCAGGAACAGCAGCAACTGAAAGAGACACGGCCGGCAACAGCAGCAGCAAAGAACAACAGCAGCAGCAACACTATTGCCAGAAATAGTAGAATCGACAGCAGCGATAGAATCAACAGCAGCATCAACAGCAGCGGTAGAATCAACAGCAGTATCAACAGCTGCAGTAGAATCAACAGCAGAATCAACAGCAGCGGTAGAATCAACAGCAGCATCAACAGCAGCGGTAGAATCAACAGCAGCATCAGCAGCAGCGGTAGAATCAACAGCAGCAG